TATATCACTGTGGTATGATTCTTTTAATTCTTTGGGGAAGATCCCCAGCAGGGGAATAGCTGGGTCAAATGGGACTTCCAGTCCTAGCTCTTTGACTTCTCACTTTTCTTCATGGCTTCATGTTTGTTTATGTTTATTCATTTGTATACATCTGTGTGTGATTGTACATTTATATGCGGGTTCACACTATTAGAACTAAATAAGAAAGAAACATTTTCCTTATGGTTGGAATTAGTGGCTTTGGCTTGTGGGAGTAAAAATAGTAATGTTTATATTGGGGAAATAGATGAGGTTTCTTATGGCTGAAGGTGACTGGTCTAGGGTTCCCTGTCTGGTTGCTCTAGGGTTCCCTCTGTGGCTACTCCAAGGACTGAAGACATCAGGAGTGCAGGTGGCAACTATAGCCCATCTATGACAATATGTCACAGCTGGTGGGAAGCTCTGGTCTTTGGTTTAAAAGTTAGATGGCTATGGTAAAATCTAATCCTGCACAAATACTTTGAAGTTTAATCAGAATACTAATATTTTCACTAAACATAAATTACAACACTAACTTGTATTGGATGAACATCAAAAATTTCCTCGGAGAGGGAGAGTGATTACTTGATTATTCATGGGAAACCTAGGTCTGTGTTTTACTTCTTTTTTTTGTTTGGTTGATTTTTTTTTTTTTGGTACCGGGGATCGAACTTGGGTCCTTGTGCTTGTGCAGCAAGCGGCGAAAGCACTGAGCTAAATCCCTGGCCCTGTGTTTTACTTCTTACTGCTTAGCTGGGCCTCAGATTGCCAGCAACAGAACTGACCCTATATGGAAGACAAATGAGGAACAAGATAGACCAATAGATGTGATTACAACCGAATGTCTTTGAAATCATTTGGTGATATGTGTATTACTCCTTCTCTTTTGAGCGATGGTTTTGGTTGTAATTGTTTTATCTTATCACTGATTATTCTTAAATTCATCATGGACTTGGATTGGTGACTTTTTGAAACTTGATGCTTTCATTCCTCTTATAAAAATAGTCATGCATATATTAGTGAACATTTACAGAGTGGTTGCATTATAACAGACAATGTGCTGAGCACCAAAGATAAAGAGATGAATAGTCCTTGCCCTCAAAGAATTCACAACCTAGGAAAAACAAAGTAACATGTTCCAGTAGTTTAATTAGAACCACTGTAGATAAAGAACAAAGAAAAGAAAGTGATATAAATATTGTATGTGATATTAAGGGAAACTTTCTGGAGTTCTAAAATACTGGTGATAGAGATGGGTATTTAGCCCCATGGTGGAGTGCTTACCTAGCCTATGTGAAGTCCCAGTGCTGTAAATTTAAAGGTAAATAAATCAATAAAATATTGGTGATAGTTTGGTAGGTTGATCGAATGGATGGTGAGGAGAGTTTATATTCCACACACAGGGAATAGCAAATGGCAAAACAAGAGAATGTGAAAGTGTATGTTGTATTTAGATAATTCAGTATTCAATATAGACAGTATTCAATATTGATCACTATCAAGTCAGTATTGATTACTAGACAATTCAATATTGGAGGTGGGACTAAAGAGAAGAGGCCAGTGGCAGGTTGTAGAGGTCTTTGGCCTGTGGGTCATACATCCATTTATTCATTCGTGCATTCATGCAGGTAACATATTGCAGTGAGTAAAAACTGCCTGTATGGAACTTATTTACTAATTGGAGTGGAGACAGTGAACAGACAGTATAGTATGTCAGATAGTAATGAATGTATCTGAAGAAAAATGAGGGAGGGGCGAGTGGATAGGTGATGGAGAACACTTCAAAGAATTAAGCTGGTCAGAGACACGAACAGATTGAGTTTGAGTTTGAGAGAAGTCACCCAAGCTGCAGTGTTAAGAGTGGATAGAGGAAGGGTTAGGATGGACGTATGGAGATCATTTGGTCAGGGGTGGGGCGGGGGTGCTGTTGTAGCACAATGGGTGATAAATAATGAAGGATTAAACTGAGCATGGCAGTGAGAATGGGAAGGCAAGGATGTATTTCAGAATTTTGGAAGTTAGGGCTTTAGATAATACTTTAATATTATGTCACTAAATGGCTAAGGAGTTTGGAAACCAAATGAAAATAGAAAATAGATGAGAGAATCCTGAGGGGATGTGGACCTTTAATAAGAATGATCAACCAAAACCTGTAGCTTACTTGTCATATGGTCTCCTGTGAGTTGGTCCAGTGACTTCTAGCCAGGAATATATTCTCATTTGAGCTGCTGAGCAGTTTTAGGGCAACAGTTTACTTTTGGACCCCAACACTTTTAAGTGCATGCTCCTCCATGTATAATTTTCTTTTTTTTAAACTTGATTCTAGATGCAATTTTAGATTCTTAAATCATAGTAAATGTCAGCTACATATGTGACATTTTTATGCCTTAATTTTATATTTTTTTCAGCTTTAAAAAAGAGCT